TGAAGACCCTCACTATTGGGGGTGAGGTATGATATGTGCATCCCATTTAGGCTTGAACACTCTATAGTCTCCTGTGCTTTGCATTGACCAGCTGAGTGGCTCTGTTCATTGTCATTTACTGTAAGGAGAAGTTTCTCTGATAAGAATTGGGAGATGCACTGATCTATGTGTATAGCAATAAGTCCTTAGGGTCATTTAAATAACATGTCAATTTAGCAAAATGATGCTTTGTGGTTCTCCCCTAGGGCCTATAACCCATCTAGCCACAGGTTCTTGGCCCATTTAGCAGTGTCTGATATGGGTTCCATCTCATGGAACAGGTTTAAAATCCAATCAGAAAGTGGTTGGTGACTTCCATAACATTCATATCAGTATCATATCAGCATATTTTGTTAGGTCAGTCATTTTGTATCCTACAGACGTGATCTCTTTTCTCCTATGGGAGTTTCCATATCACCTTCAAGAACTATGAGAACTAGCCATAGGTTTGAAGATTCCAGGTGAAACCCAGTTTGGTTTCTCTATGTTCTATGACTTAAGTATGTGGAGTCTTCAGCAATAGGATTTTGTCATCAAGCTCTGGAGAGAAGTTAAGAGTACCGCAGTACCCTGCAATGCCTGCAGATCTATGGTATTCCATAGGCTAACAACTCAAAAGGAGTTAACCAGTTGCTATTATTGGGTTTATAATTTCCTAGCATTAAGTGTCTAGTTGGGTTATTGTCCCCCTACTGGAGCATTTCTCCATTAAAACTCTTTTAATGTATGTATATGTTTTAGGAAGGGTCTGGAGTAATGAATTTCCAAATGGTTTCTCTGTTGTGGCATAGTTGGTCACACAGTGAATCCTGAGATTAACTTAATTAAATAAAATCAACCTGTGTCAAGAGGTGGAACCAGCAACTGGAGAGTAAGAGGAAGAATGGAAAACGGAAATGTACAGGAAATAGAGAGGAGGGACTTTGAGTTTGGTGCCCTGTTGGGGGAGGGGCAGCAGAAGAAGAGCCCTATTTCTGAGATGCTGGCTAAGGAAGAAGGTCAACTTGTTGCTCCTCAGCCTCTGTGAGCTTGCAGGTTGTTACCCCTGAAATCTGACTCACAAGTCTTTATTGGTAAAATCATAAGATTGAGATCTATTGTAAAAATAACATTTTTCAAAAGGCTTTGGTGTTAGTTATCATTCCTGCAAAATCCCCTCTACTTTGCCCTCCCACCCTCACCCCAATTTACCCTTTTCTATTTCATAATTCCCTTTAACCCCTTTGGATTAGTGCATTCTATCACTTCTGCCACCAAGGCCCCTTCATAAACTCCTGACTGCAATGGGAATTCCAAATGAAACTTACATATTTGAAGATCCAAAGCTAACATCCATGCATGAGGGAAAGTGTGATATTTGTCTTTCTGAGACTGAGCTGTCTCACTCGGGAAGGTTGTTTCTAGATTTATTACTTTCTATTTGAATTTCATTTTTCTTAACAGTTAAATAATTATTCCACTGTGTATAAATGAACATTTTATTGTTCATGCATCATTTGATAAACATCTAGGTCATTTGTATTTTCTGGCTATTGTGACTAGAACAGCAATGAACATGGATGAGCAAGCCTTTGTAGTAAGGTTTAGTTATATGCCCAAAAGTAGTGTAGCTGGATCATTTAAAGCTTTTTGAGAAAACTCCACACCAATTTTCATAGCCATTGTACCAGTCTGGGACTTTCATCCCAGAGAGAGGTTCAGTTTGTCAGGGACATTTTTGCATCGAATAAAATGATCATGTGGTTACTCTATTTTGTTTATGTGATGGATTACATTTATTTAAATATATGTACTGAACTACCCTTGCATCTCTTAGATAAAGATAAATTAACCATAAAGATAACATTTTTATTTGTTTTTAAACTCAATTTCCAAGTATTTCATTGAGGATTTTTGCATATATGCTCATAAGGATTATTTATAATTTTTGTTGAGATTTTGATTGGTTTTGGTTTCTAGGTAATAATAACTTCATAAAAAGCATGTTTTGCAGTGTTTCTATTCTCAGGTGGATTTTTTATTTAGTTTGACAATTCTTAGTTACCACTTCTCATTTGTTGTTATTGGTCCATTTTAATTATTATTCTCATCTTGATTTAATTTTGGTAACTCTTCTATATATCAAAATTCATCTGTTTCTTTTAAATTTTTCAGTTTGGTAATATATAAATTTTTAAAATATGTTCTTATCATTCTTTGAATTGGCTCAGTAGGTATTTTAATATTTTCATTTTCTTTTTTCTTAGTTTTCCCTTTTCTTTTCCCCTTTTTTTTATTTACTAAAAAAATCTTTTTTTCATTACATATGACAATCCACGTTCCCACTCCCTCCCCTCCTCTCATTCCCTCCACATATCCTCCCACCTTATCTTCATCCAATACTCAGAGAGGGTAAGGCACATTGCTTTGTAGAAGGCCCATGGCCCTCCCTACTATATTTAGGCTAAGCAAGGTATCCATCTGTTGTAAGGAGAGGAGAGCCTGCTTGTTTGTCCCAGCTGCCCGGCTAGCTTAGCCCTGAAATAACCACACAGAAATTGTATTAATTAAAATATTGCTTGGCCCATTTGTTCTAGCCGCTTATTTGCTAACTCTCACATCTTGATTTAACCCATTTCTATTAATCTGTACATCACCACATAGCAGTGGCTTACGGGGAAATATTCAGCATGTCGGAGTCTGGTGGCTACATGGTGGCTCTCTCTACTTTCACCTTTCTTCCTCAAGCATTCAGTTCTGTCTTCTCCACCTACCTAAGTTCTACCCTATCAGGCCAAAACAGTTTTTTTTATTCATTAACCAATGAGAGCAACACAAAAACAGATGTACCTCCTACACCATCCATCCAAAGAGAATAGGTTCCCAAAAAGCCAGTACATGCAGTATAGATACATCCTTGTTACACTGCCAATGGCCCATCAGTCTTCCCCAGCCATACAACTTTCAATCACATTCAGAGGGACTAGTTTGGTCCTATGCTTGTTCCTTCCCAATCCGGCTGGAATTGGTAAACTCCCATTAGCTCAGGTAGACTGTTTCAGTGGGTGTACCCATCATGGTCATGACCTCTTTGCTCATATTCTCATACCTCCCACTCTTCAACTGGACTTTGGCAACTTAGCCCAGTGCTCTGATGTGGGTTTCTGCCTCTGTTTCCATCAGATCTCATTGTATTAAATAACAAGCTTTGTTTAAATTTGATTCATCCCTTGAAATTTTCGTTTAATGTGTCTTCATCATATCCATCCCCCATTCCCTCCCTCATCTCAACCACAACACATATCATCTCCTCAATTTCACTTCCTTTTTATTGTATTTTTTTAATAATACACTGGGTTTAATTACTTTTTTTAATTTTTTTTTCAATTACATTTGTGCATCCACTGACCAAAGGAAAAACATATAGTTGTCCTCTTGGCTATGGGAAGTAGACAAAATTGCCAGGGAGAAAATTGAGATCTTGGGGGTGGGGTGGGATGGGGGTAAGAGGAGATGGGGAGAGAAAAGGGAGAAGGGGAGAATGGGAGAATGGGGGGAACTTGGGGAAAAAGGAGGATTGGGATAAAGGAAGGTTGGATAGGGGAGCACGGAAGCACAATTCTTAGTTAAGGGAGCCACCTTAGGGTTGGCAAGAGACTTGAACATAGAGTGGCTCCCAGGTGCCCAAGCCGAGGTCCCCATTAGTTCCTTGGGCAGCTGAGGACAGGGAACCTGAAATGACCCTATCCTATAGCAATACTGACGAATATCTTGCATATCACCATAGAACCTTCATCTGGTGATGAATGGAGATAGAGACAGAGACCCACACTGGAGCACTGGACTGAGCTCCCAAGGTCCCAATGAGGAGCAGAAGGAGAGAGAACATGAGCAAAGAAGTCGGGACCAAGAGGGGTGCACCCACCCACTGAGACAGTAGAGCTGATCTGTTGGGAGCTCACCAAGGCCATCTGGACTGTGACTGAAAAAGCATGGGATAAAACTGGACTCTCTGAGCATGGCGAACAATGAGGGCTGCTGAGAAGCCAAGGAAAATGGCACGGGGTTTTGAACCTACATAATGTGCTGGTTTTGTGGGAGTCTAGCCAGTTTGAATGTTCACCTTCCTAGACATGGACGGAGGGGGAAGGACCTAGGACCTACCACAGGGCAGGGAACCCTGACTGCTCTTCAGACTGGAGAGGGAGGGGGAGAGAAGTGGGGGGAGGGGGAGAAAGGGTGGGAAAAGGGGGAGAAGGGTGGGAGGAGGGGGAGGGAAATGGGAGGCTGGGAGGAGGTGGAAACTTGTTTTTTTTTTCTCCTTTTCTCAATAAAAAAAGTTAAAAAAATAAAAAAAAGTAAAAATAAAAAAAAGAAAAAAATCTTTCATATGAATCATTTAAATAAAAGTTTAGGGGATGGTAACATTGTATCTTGTTTTGTGATACCAGGAATCCCTCTGCATTATACTGTAAATGTATCTAACAAACCAAAAGGCAAAACATTGACTCTTTATCCTTATAACCACAGTCATTTTCTAAGAACTATTTTCTAGTCAGGTATTAGAAATTTGAAATAAAATACTTACTTTCACTTTTAGGACAAATAGATAGTTCCTCTTTTTAATAATGACCAGTATCTACAATTTTTTTCCTTCAGAAACTAAAAATGACTCACATTAACTCCTTTCAAAATCAATAATGTCCATTATATCTTAACCTAATTATTTTTTTAAATAACGCATTTCATTTGGATTTAGTGATAACAGTTTCTGGTTTTCCACTTATCAGCTTTATAATTCTTCAAGCAAATATTAGGACTGTTCTTGATTGTCATTTCACATTGGTTTTCTTTCACACTTGACTTTCTGTCTTGTCTAAAATTAAAGTATAAAACAGACTATCTATCTATCTATCCCTCTATCTATATATTTTTGTGTTCTATGCAGTCTAATTATATACATTTTTCTCTAATTTAATTAGAATAACAAACTGTTTTGTTCAGGTCCGTATTTATGTGGATGCTGTCATTAATCACATGACTCAAGAAGGAGTTCAAGCAGGAACCAGCAGTACATGTGGAAGTTATTTCAACCCACAAACCAGGGAGTTCTCTGGAGTTCCATTCTCTGGTTCGGATTTTAATGATGGCAATTGTAGAAGTGCAAGTGGAGAAATTGAAAACTACAATGATCCTGCTCAGGTGAGGAAAATGATCAGAATAAAAAAAAAATCTGTCCTCAGTATGCACATGGAACTTTTGGAATACTATTTGAAACATCGTTTAGATTTCTTAAGCAACGCATTACTAGGAGTAAGAAATGCAAATAAATCATCAAAAATGTTTGTAGTTATTAAATGTTTCAAAGTTTGTTTCTTTTACCACATTAAGAAAAAGAAATAAAAATGAATGGAGAAGAGAGAGGAAAACAAGGGGTTTCCTAAATCAACTGTAATATTACCTATGTCGTTTTCCCATACTTCATTCTTCACACTGGAAAATATTCTTAGGGTGTATTTACAGTAGAATGTGAATGTTAGGAATGAAGCTTCCTAATAGACCAGTTGGTGAATATGTGAATAGTCAAAGAGAGTCTGAGGTGACAGGTGACATTTAAATCAATCACCTTATGTCTGGCTTGTTTTTAATTTGTTTCAATAGGTCAGAGATTGTCATATGTCTTACCTACTGGATCTCGCACTAGGGAAAGATTATGTTCGTACCAAGGTGGCTGATTATATGAACCATCTCATTGACATTGGTGTAGCAGGGTTCAGAATTGATGCTGCTAAGCACATTTGGCCTGGAGACATACAGGCAGTTTTGTTCAAACTGCACAATTTAAATACAAAATGGTTCCCTCAAGGAAGCAGACCTTCCATGATTCAAGAGGTAAAGTAATACACGTGTGTATATATAAATGACATCAGTTTTGCTAGCCAGAAGATGGATGGAAGATTTTTATTAAACATAATTTCTATAGGTTAATGTTCGAGTACCTTATTAAATACAAAATTTCTTTAAGTCCCTTTTATTTAGATATAATAGACTTAATTCTTTTCCAGAATAAGGGTTTAAATTAGGATTGTAGAGAATTTGTGTAGGCTGTGATACTACTGGATTAATTAGCGTATACTCAGGGAAGATTAGGCCAGGCAGAAAAATCTTAGTCATTGACTCCAGCCTGTCTTTCTAAATTGACTCCTGTGTGAGGTATTAATCAATGTGTAAAGTATGGGTAAACTGATTAATATTTCTGTGCACATTGGTCATGTGAAGAGGTTAGTACTGTTTTGTATTTGATTTCTTTGGAAAACTAAATGAATTCTAATTGCTGAACTTATCTGTCAGTGAGTACTTTGAAGGTATGAATTTCTGTATTTTAAATTATATATTAAATTTAAACACCTTTATTGGAAAAAAGGGACATTGTCAGTAAATTTCTCTCAATAGTGATTCATATACTTTATAAATAGGAAAAACCAATTTGAGCATCAGCAGCATAAAGAATTTAAAAGATATTCTTTTGACAGTGAACATTTTAATATTTCTTTATTCAAATGTCCGTATTCCGTATATCTCTACTAGGTAGTTGATCTGGGTGTTGATGTAATTAAAAGCAGTGAGTACTTTGGAACTGGCCTTGTGACAGAATTCAAGTATGGAATATCACTGGGCACAGTTATCCGTAAGTGGAATGGAGAGAAGATGGCCTATTTAAGGTAAACACATCATACTTTGTTATTGAGTCTGTCACATATGTGTTGTCACCCCAATACATGATCATATTAGAGCATTCTAATTTATTAAATATTAAATATTTATCAAGAAGTTAACTATTAAGAAGGTTCACTGCTCTCTAAATCACAATTAACCTTCTGGAATTAATTATTTCATTTTAATTGCCAATAACAAGGAGGAGCTCTAGAAACATAAAATATCACCTAGAGATTTTGTTTTCTGTCTGAGATATGAGCTAACTAGAGTTTGGTAATTCTAATCTGCTAAAGTCAAGATATTACTTTAAAAACCATTTACTCATATATAAAGCTATAATGTGGACATATTGTTATATTTATGTATTGCAATAAATTAGTGTGAAATGTTAAACTGTTTTATTTTACAAAATGTTTATAAAAAGATTTTATAAAATATTTATAAAATACACTGTAATATTCAATCTTAACTTATTTGTTTTTCATTTTACATAATGAGATATGGATATTTACTCTTCTTGAGTTCATCTACATTACAATGTTACAGGGGCAATGTGAATGGAAAGCAAATAAACTTACTATACAGAAAATCATGGGATATGTTAGGCAATTACATATGTGTATATTCACATACCTGGAAGAAATTGTTTCCTGTGGTATAAACTTTTATTTATAGAATCAGTAGTTAAATGAAAATAGATTATAGAAAGTGGTATGGATAGGATAAACTAAATGTATTGTAAAATAATAATATATGCAAATTTTTTAAAAATAGGAACTGGGGCGAAGGTTGGGGTCTCATACCTTCTGATAGAGCCCTGGTCTTTGTGGACAACCATGATAATCAGCGAGGTCATGGAGTCGGAGGATCAACCATCCTGACTTTCTGGGATGCTAGGTAAATAAAACCATTTGTTGAAGATTTGTTACTTGCCCTTTAGTGATTGCACATTTTTTATTGTTCTATCATAATATTATTTTGTAATTTTCAGACTCTATAAAATGGCAGTTGGATTTATGTTGGCTCATCCTTATGGATTCACACGAGTAATGTCAAGTTATTACTGGCCAAGATATTTTGAGAATGGAGATGTAAGTTTGAATACATTTTTTTCCTAGTAAAGGGAAGCAGCCCTGTTTTAATTTAATATAAAAATATTTATGTAAAATATATGCCATCAAATAGTTATTTACTGTAATGTGAACAATAAAAATATTGCACAAGTATTCACTGATTATCAATATAAAAAATCTTGATAATTGTAGAACAAGGTACACAAAGCAAAATACAGGCATCTAATCATACTTACCTTGTCAATTAGATATGGAGATTGTGCATAAAAACATCTGTAAAGAAGGGAAACACGTTTGCTTAATTCTATACTGGAGTCCTGCCTCATCTTGGGCATTGCACCCGCCAGGACTGAAAGAGGATAGTTGAAGGAAAGCTCATTTATTAGGAGGAAGCAGCGGATTGTTAGAGCCCAGGAAAAAAGGCCAATTGGATTCACGTGTTGGTATGTCGTTGGGGCCAGGGGAAGGAAGCTTATAGGTCATGTAGAAAAGAAAGGATGTTTTAGTGGTCAGATAAATGGCAACCAGTCCTCATGGCCTTGGAGATGCACGAACTTATCAGTTGCTATATGCACTAGGGCAATATACCCGGGGATGTCTATCTGCTGAGGTCTGTTGGCACCTGAGCAAGGCAGGAGTTGGGTGTGTAGTCAAAGGAAGAAGTAGCCAAGTATTACCTCTCAGCATGAGAACATCTAGGTTTCAGGCATACTTCAACACCTTCTTAGCTGCAGGCCAGCCCTGCAGTTTAAAACTTGAGCAAGAAAAGTACTTTCTAAGTACCTTTAAATTTTTCTGTGGAAGGGAAAAAAAAAGTTATTCAGTTTAACTGAGGTTATCTAAGAAAGTATGTTAAATAAAGCAAACAACTTTGAAGACACATTCAGGAATACAAAGCATTATAAAATATTATGCAGCACATTCCTATGAACAATTTTAAAAAGCAGTAACAGTCTAGGGAGATGACTTAGAGGGTAAAACTCTTGCAGGAGGGACAAGTATTCAGTTCCTTGACATCTTGCAATGCTGTGCAGTTTGTCTTCTCACTTTTAACACAATTGCCTGATAGTTGGAGATCACAGATTTCTGGCCCACCATATTCGGTAGTCTGGGTTTAGGGGAGAAAAGCTTCCTCTATTGACAATGGAGGGAATGCTTGTTCAATTGTTTCAGGAAAATGTGTAAATGTGTTGACAATCATAATATTTTGGAAAATTTATTAGAGAGTATTAGAATATATTTATTAGTACTTTTATCTAAAAGATAGTATGGAACCTAAACTAATATTAATTTGGAAATTAAATATACTTTCTAAAGAAGTTCTATAAATACTGATATTTTTATAGTAAATAAATAATATTTGGCTTTTATAGATGATTAAATTCAGGGACAGAGGACTTATGTATCTTGAATGAGCTTTCTAAAGCCATCGGTACTGGATTCTGTCCTTCTTTAATCTTTCTGATACAAATGCTCTTACCACTTTAGTGACTCTAAAGAAGTTAGAGAGATATTAAGAAGTTATTTCTTGAAAAGGCTCTGAATGAATAAAAGTGTGTATAAATAAAAATGTCATATTTCTCTGAAATATGACTCTAGAGAAATAAAGACTCAATAAAGTTCTGTATAAATACCAAAGTAAGACACGGAGTAGATACTATAGAGAGTCAGGTAGCAGAAATTTTTAATTTAGTGCAATGAAAATGGAATATGAATTTTAAAATTGCGCATTTTTTTCTGTAATAAAGGATATCAACAATTGGTTTGGACCACCAAATGACAATGGAGCAACTAAAGAAGTGACAATTAATGAAGACACCACTTGTGGCAATGGCTGGGTCTGTGAACATCGATGGCGCCAGATAAGGTTGGGAGTGTCCCCTATGGATCTTGTCTAATACGAAAATGGTTTAAATTTTGTTTTAAATTGTTAAATACAAAGTGTATAAGCATTTCACATGATATTGTGCTTTTAGGAACATGGTTGCCTTCAGAAACGTAGTCAACGGTCAGCCTTTGTCAAATTGGTGGGATAATGGCAGCAACCAAGTAGCTTTTGGCAGAGGAAACAAAGGATTCATTGTCTTTAACAATGATGACTGGTAAGTGGAAAGCAATTAATGTAGAATTGTGTACTTTTATACCTTTACCTCCTTCCTTTTGTTTCCTGCTCTTTTGTAGCTGAAAAATAAATTTTGTTAATGAATTTAAGATTTGTTAATGAATTTCAGATACCTGAAAAGTATAGAAAAAAAAGATGCTTGCTCTTCATTTCTTTCTCCATTTTTAGAGCAGATTTTGTTTCAAGTAGAATTTTGTTTTCCTGTTGTTTTTGGTATACTCTTACACTGTCATATTCATATATTCTCATTCATTGATTCATGTGATATCTGTACAAAGCTTATAAATATTCAGCATGTCTTAAAATCAGTGATAGTATGGGCATTATTAGATTCAAAAAATTCCCCCATTTCCAAGCTCTGTATCATGACTATTTATTTTTCTGTTCCCTTGTTATATAATCATAAATTATCTGTCTCTGTGTGACATATTTCATTATCTCTGACTGATGTTTTTTCTCAGGAGGCAATTGAGTTTGCTTCTACAGTCTAGATTACAGGCCTTCTGCTTTTGATGCATGCATATGTTTCCATCTCCTTGAACATTTTCCTACTTGTATACAACTGTACTTAGAGGATCTTTGTGCAAGTAGATGACAACCTCAGTGTCAAGTCCCATTTTTTGCTCATTTGGATTTTTGTATTAGCTTCCTTTTTGATGCTGTGATTAAACAACATGAGCAGGTCAACTTACAGAATAAAGATTTTATTTAGCCTTGCAATCCCAGGGGGTTAGAACTGGACCACATGGTATGAGGGCAGGAGTAGGAAGCTGATGAATCACACTTTGAACCACACTACAATGCAGAAAACGTTAACTAGAGAAGGTCAGAGTCTTTCCCTGTCAAGGCCTGCCTTCAGTGACACAGTTCCTCCACATCCACATTAGCTAACCTCCCCAAACTATGCCACCACATGAAAACCAAATTTTAACTTAACAAGTGCTATTTATAAATATCTACCTATATATCTATATCTATTCCTGTATCTATCTATCATCTATATCGATCTATCTAACTTTATGGCTAGTAAATTACAACTTATATTTACACACCACAAAGTTTAAGAAAGTACTCAATTTGGAGGTATTCTGCTTTCTTGAATTTGTCGATTTGAATCTGACCTCTTTTTTCCTTTTCAGGTCATTGTCAACAACCCTACAAACTGGTCTCCCTGAAGGCACATACTGTGATGTCATTTCTGGAGATAAAATTGATGGCTATTGCACCGGAATGAAAATCTATGTTTCTGGTGATGGCAGTGCACAATTTTTCATTAGTAACACTGCTGGAGACCCATTTATTGCAATCCATGTAGAATCAAAACTCTAAAATTTAAAATAAATTCATACTGAGAGCATCAATCATTTGTATTTCTTTTCTTTTGCATAATTTAACTTTTATACTTCATTCACACTTATATAATCCGTTACAGCAATGAACTTCAATTGGTAAAAATTGTTTATTGAAATCAATGTAATTTTGTGAAAATTATATACAGGGATTTTAATGTATTTTAGAAGATTCTCCTTAAATTATTAGTCAATGGCAATTCTCAGATCTTTGAAGACATCTTGACAAATATATAGTTTAATCTCATGTACTATTTGTATCAGAATACCATAATATCTCTTCTTTATTAAATATTTTTTCTTGTATTCAAATGTTTATATAATTACTTTTTAGCTTATTCACTTCCTTGTCTTCCATTTTCCCTCCCATTTTTATATCTTGTTTTGACCAACTGCTCTTAGATATGGTTGCCTGCATGAGCATGGGTAGAAAGTTATTACTTGAACATTAGTCATTGACAAAAGTAACTTGCTAGTATATTAAACACTGAGGATCATAGTCTACCCCTTGTTAAAAAAATGTTAATTTCTTATAGCTCCCTAGGAAGTGATGGGGGCCATGCCATAGTGGAATCTTTGTGTTTCAAGTATCAAGCAGTACTTGTGAAGTTAGTCAATACTCATTGAGTTTATGAAAGCAAGAGTCCTTTCATGTACCTATGACATCATCTCACAACACTCCCTTCAATCCTGTTCTTTTGTTTTCTTTCCATCACCTCTTCTATGATAATCCATGAACTTTGACTGGGGTTTATAGATGTCCCCTTCTAGGATGAGTGCTCAGCACTCTCTTAATGTGATCACTTTGACCAGTATGAGTTTCTGCTTTGTCTGTCACCCACAGAAATGGAAACCTCACTGTACAAGTGTTAGAACAATACAAATCAATGGATTTGAACATAACCGTGTAGAAAATAAATGGACACCATGGTGTCTCCTTAGCTAAACAGCCATAGTATTTTTCTTGAAGGTCCATTGCCATACTGAACTATCAGCTTTTCATTAGGTTTAGAGTACCGGGAAAGAGTTCCTCCTGTGAAGTAAGTATGCAATCCAGTCATTGTGGATTTGATTATCTCTATATCAATTATGCTACCACTATACTAGTGGGTACATCTTGCCTTGCATGTTGGTTTTTTAATTGACAGAATTTACATTAGATATGTCCTTTGATAAATTTTAACCTTCATAGTCTGCATAGAAATTCTGAACACAAAAGAAACTAGCAACCTAGAAGGAAACATCCAGCTCAGTTATGGTTTGATTTTTCTATGTCCTGTCTCCAAACTTCCCTAAGTAATAGTTCTTACTGTTTAGTTCTCGTGGAAACCAAGAACAACTCCAATAACCACTTTTCATCCTGTTGGCTTTTGTGTGGACCCTCTATTTTACTCCATTTATTTATGTGGTTGTTTCTGAGCTTGTGCCATGATAGTTTTATCACTATGGTTACACATCACAACTTCAAATCAGTTATGTGATCCTTCTAGGATTATTATTTTTCATTCTTTATTACTTTTTTTGGTATCTGTGATCTCTTTTGTTTCCATAAGGATTTTAAGATCATGTTTTCTATGGCTGTGATAATTGTGCTGAAATTTTTATCAGAATTTAATTGAATATGTAGAGTGCAGGCATTCTAACTCTAAACTACTATCCTAAGAATATTTTATAATTTTAAAAATCCTTAATTTATTTCACAGCTTATTGTATGACTACATTAGAAATAAATAATATTTTTCCATGGAGTACAATGCAGGAGTGACTGACATCAGACCATCTATATTCAAAATTATTACTGCATCTTTTTGGAATAATTTTTCAGGAAAGTTATTTTAGAACACAAATGGAAACCTACTGAAATTCCTTTTGCTATTTTTCATCCTGAATATCACATAGCTAAATTTTTTATTTTCTGATTTTTCTCACAAGAGTAATATGCTTTAGCTCTTTAAAGGGCTAACCTGTAAAGTTTTCAGGTCTTCAGACTGGTTATCATGTTGACCTCGAAGAAATCCTTCTTCCGAAAGTTGCTTTCTAAGTCCGGGAAATTACTTAAGTGACTTTGTCTTTTAAATTGAATGTGCATTTCCATAAAATGAAGCCTATGATGTGTGGAACAATCCCTTTAGGACAGCTCTTTATTTGTCTCAGTGATTAGCAATAGGTTTTTTTCTTTAAGTATTACAATTCTTTTCAAGAACAAGCTTTTCCTGTTGCTTGTGAACCATTTATTTTCCAAAACTGAACATTTTAATAATATATTCCTACTGTATTTATTGCCATTTACTATATGGATCTTGATTAGAATTGTGAGCACAATCATCCACAGTCTAATTGTTCTCTCCTTTGAAATTTCTTCTGCCAATCTCATTATTCTACCATGTTAAAATTCAGTCTCAGTCTACGTGTCAGAAAAATACAGCAGATTCTTTGTCAGACTATCATGTGAAGAACTTCAAGACCAGCAGCTTCCAGAGTCCATGTTGTTCCGTGAAATCTCTTGAACATGACCTCCATTTTAGTAATTCTCTTTGGTTTCTAGTCTTCCCAATCAAGCCAAAAAAAAAACCAGAAAGCAAAAAACAAAAACCCAATACTCTATACCTTCAGCATTTAATGACTTTCTAGTGCCCAATTGTTTCAAAGCCTACACATTATGTGGATTTTAAGAGTTACTTCTTGGTATTAATTGCTAATAAGAAATGACTTAGAAAGAAACAGCTTAATGTTGGAAGGAATACAAACCAAAAGAGTAGAGATCGCAGCCTCCATGTACTGCCCTGCAAAAACAAGCAAAGAGGACAAAGGAAATGGGGCAATAATATAAAACTTTGAATCTTCTTCCAGTGAGTACCCTCTACTAGTAAGACTCCATCTCCTAGAGGTTCATCAGCTTCTCTAAACTTACCACAATTGGAGTACAAACTTATCAAGTTCATGAGCCCATGAGCGACATTTAATATTTACATTCAAACTATAGAAATGTCCCTCCTATCCTATCCTCTATACTCACCAACCTTACTCTCTTCTGTCACATTAGTTATTTATGGATAATAACCCATGTGTCATAAGACTGTAGGTAGAGTATATTGTTTTTCTCTGGCTAAACTTGGAATCTACTTGGTAATGGATAACTAGTCAGCTCACAAAAATCTTGGATATGAAGAAGGACATCTAGATCTTTTTGTGTAGACTTTCATCACAATTATGTACAAATTTCAAGTCTTAAAGACTCAAGTGATCAAGCCTCATTTATATTCCTAAGTAATAGAGTCACAAAGTACATGCCACAGATCTGTGTAGGCCAAGTGATTGCTGCTTCAGTCTCTATGAGGTTATTGGAGTTTTGCTCAATTGATTTAGACAGTTAATGCTGATGTCCTCCATCCATTCTGGCACAGTAGTTTTTTTGTTCTTATATTTGGTCTCCAGGGCGTCTAGTCTTTTGTTCCTGGTCACGCAAGCAATGCCAAGAATGGATTCTTTGGAGGTGGCCTTAAGTCAAGTCAGACATTGGTTGGTTCCCTCCATAAGCTTTGTGCCATCATTGCTGTAGCATATTTTGCAGAATATGCTAGAAATAAATTGTAGATCACAAGGTTGTGTTTGGGTTCGTGTTTATGGTTCTTATCTGGAAGGCAACAGAATACCTGCCCATACCTAAGACACAAGTACATGGAGGTGAAGGTCCTATGTAGGTACTAATTAAAGTCTCAATATTCAATGACTTGTATGAGTGTTTTCTTTACCAATGAGATCTTGCTTCAGTTTTTGGAGTGCTATCTCTTGTCTTGGCAACAGACTGAGTTGTTTGGGATTTTCACTGAACCCTTGTGGCCAACAAATTCATTAGATACCACCAATTCTCAGTACTGGAAGTCTTGCTTGGTAACAAGAGATGGCCTTTTGAGGACCGCTTTTCCTTGTTACTTGGAGACTTTATTAAGATTGCCTTTATATATTTCACTGAACTAAGTTTCTATACCACCCCTCAATTGCCCCTTAATTCTAGCTGTCTCTCACTGCATTCCCTCCATCATCACTATCTACCCTCTTTCTTCCTACCTAATCCTCCTGTTCTAGTTCTCCCCTCCTCCAGCTGCAATCCACCTATAAAATCTGTTTTATCTCCCGCATCTAAGAAGAGCTACAGATTTCCCCTTAGTTCCTTCCTAGATGTCCAATACCTCTGTGTTTACATATTGTAACTAGGCTGACACTTATTTATAATATACAATATATATGGACTGGAAAGATGTCTCAGCCATTAAGGTTTAACCTCACAACCAAAACACAATATATAAATATTTCTTATTTACAAATGTTATATTTATTTAAATATCAAACTAATTACAAAATATAATAATGAACTTGGTTATATTTCCTGTTTTACATTAAATGAAAATTAAATCAACAAAAAATCGTGAAAAAGAAAATCAAAATCAATTATTATACTATATAAATACTTACAAGTTTCATATTTTCTTATAATTCCTGTTCTTATTTTATTTTTTGTTTGTATTTTTGTTTTTTATTGATATTTATTGAGCTCTAAAAATTCCTCTGTACCCTTCCCTGCTTTTCCCCTCACCTCTTCAACCCTCCCCCAAGGTCCCCATGCTCCCAATTTAATCAGGAGATCTTGTTTTTTTCTACTTACCATGTAGATTAGATCTATGTAAGTCTTGCATAGTGCTTCAAAACTTCTTATATGTCATTATGTTTAGATCTCTAAGGTGTTTGAAGATGACCTGTCTATGTAAAATATTATTTGACCTTGAAAACACACTTAATGTGACCACGAGTTTGACTATTATAGGTAATTAACTACTAACCTGCATTACCTTATTATCTTAAACAGTTGGTAACAATAATTTTCAAGGACTAGAAATTTACATTACATTGTTAAATGAGTTGTATAGACTCATTTTTATTGATTTACATTGGAAAAGAGTAGAATGGTCTGTACAGTATATCTAATAAATTTGATCTCAAAATTGTATCAATAT